TCCAAATTAGGTGGGGCAGAGAGCCTATTGGGCACAAAGGAAGTGATGGAACATTTTGGTGCCTGCAGATACCACTGCAATCCAATGAGCCCTGTCTAGTTTGCAATTTAGTTTCAGAATCATTTGTGATTTCATGTGGCCATTACAGTGGCAAGGCTGTTAATCTGTCATAATATGGATCCATTTTCATTTAAAATTAGATATTATGATTATCAATTTAGATGTACTTCAACTATCATAATGAGGGAAGTCTCCACTTGGTGGAACTCTATAACTGACATGTAGTTTAATATCTGATAGAAAGGCTAGATAAAATTCTGTTTCAAGTTGCTTGAAATCTGGTGGCTATAACGGTAGATATTAGTAAGCTAAAAGTGAAGACCTGGCTCTGTCAGTTCGCATGGGGCTTGGGGACGGGTAACCAACTCTGGGAGTGGTTGGCACCCTGAAGATGCTCCTGTAGGTCGATAATTTATTATATACCACCAATTCCTTGGATTATATTATTGATTTATGAAAGCTGTTTTTATTGTATTTTAAATATTTTTTATTCCTATGTTGTTGCAAACTGCACAGAGTCGCTCTTTGAGTGAGATGGGCAGTGACTAAATTTGAAATATAAATATAAATAAATAAAAAGGCAAGTCTAATTTAGTGTAAACTAGCTTCTCTTTCTTACAGGCTATCAAAATGGCACTAAGCATATATTCTTCAGAAATTGTTCAATTTTGTATTTCAAGACTTTCTTCAACAAAAATTTAAAATATGTGTAATTAGAAAAAAGGTAAAATTACAAATTTTAAAATGTCAAATTCATATGAATCTGACTTTGATCTAGATCATTCTTTCACTGCATGGTTTTAAATATCGTACAGATACAAAGTTTCTATAATGTTCGACTGTAATAACAAGCTCATTTCCTTTTCAAATTTTCACATCTTTATTCACTGAGGACTGAAAACATGACTGAGATATCCCATTGTTCAAGTTATTTTTCTAAAGAAAACCCACAGAAAATATTATTTTACAAATTGGGGAAAATGTTGATGCAATCATAGCTGGATCAGTATTGCCGTGAATTTGTGGCCAATATTTTTCACCAGATGCCAATAAGCCTTCATCTAATGCTCCTGCAGTAATAACTCCATTTCACACTCATTATATACAGTTTAAATTTTATAAATGAATAGCATCCTGTGTTTTACATAAGACTGTCTATTAGGCATGTAAACACTGAAACAATACACTCAAACATGCTTGTGTTAAAGCAATTTTTCACTACAATTTACCTCTTTCTGTTGTACGCCTAAACGTTTGGAATGTAGGATAAGTCTTCTCATAAGAATAGACTATGCAGAAGGTCAAACTACTTTTAGTGCTGTTGCACAAACAGTTGAAGCATTTCCCCATTAGAAGTAAGATTATGTGGATGGAGAAATGTAGCACCTGTTAAGCTACAGCTCTACTTGTCAGATCTAGATCTGTTCAGAAGAGAACTCCCATCGTTTTCTAGAAATGTGAATGTATGAGAAAATTAATAAGATCCCAAAGTACTTATATAACCTCCTACTTATACTCATTCTTCAGAAAATGGGATACAAAGGTAGCAAAGTACTCTAGTTCTCAAACCTGCTCAAGAACAAGCCTTGGGAAAACTCATTGCAAACTTTTAATCTTGCAGTGCTGTTCACATGCTGCCACAATTACTTAGGTGGCTGAATTAAACAAAATATAAGACTCCCACTCCAGATTATACAATCTTGCAATTTAAATATAAGCCACACAAACAAAAGCTTCAGGAAAGTATTAGCTCCAAGATTTAGTACAGATTTATTTTAAAATGCTGCCCCAATATCTAAATATGCAGACCTAAGTTTTATTTCATAATGAAACATAGCCATGGACGGGGCAATGAAGTACAGCTTTTTTTTTTAAACCATATCTTTTGGACAAAGCAAAGTTACAGTGTATAACAGTAAACATTTTAAAAAGTTGATCATGACAAATAGTATCATACCTTTACTACTTGCTTTGTATAATCTTCAACAATTACTAGTGAGATTACAAAAGAATTAAAACAGAAACAAAACCAAAACTAAACTACTCTCCAACAGTAAAATTTAAGTAAAATGCTTACATTCATTTGACGACAAGTCATATTAAAAATGCTGCGTAGATAGCAAATAATTTTTTCAGCTGGAACTGGTCTTCAGAGTTATTATTCCTATGTAAAAAAGATGTAAATATATGCACAATTATAGTACAGTATTTTAAGCTATTTAAAATTCAACTAACAATACAAAAGGAAAAACCTAACTGATACAGCATAATACATACCTTTTCTTCTTTACGTCTCTCCTTGTCTTCATTTTCCATTGTTTCTTCTTCATCTTCTACAAGCCCATCCCCTTGGTATTTATCATGCGTCCATTTTGGACTGCTACCTGATTTTTTGAAGTTGAATCTTCCTCTGCCACGCTGAAAAGTGCCACGGCCTCTTCCTCTTTTAGCCCAGTAATCAACACCATCATCTCTGTCATCATGCTAGAGTAAATGGAATTCAATTAAAGAAAATGCAGAACCTAAGCAGCACTTAGTACAGTTATATTTATCATCAATTTAATTAATTACTGTAGCTGAGTCCTTTGTTCTTACTATTCTGCAAGATAAAAAGATAACAAATATACCAAGTTCAACCATTAGTCAAGCTACTCCAGTATTATGTATTTGGTTAGTCAAGGATTCCACGTTCAGGGAGACATCTCTCCCAGCTCCCCAAGATGCCATGAAGTGAGTGCAGAAATATATATAAGACACATGCTCTATCACTGAGCTAAGAGCCATTTTTTAATGAATTGGTAATTTGGTAAGATACACAAACGTTAAACTTCCTCTATGTTCAAAATTCAAAGCATAGTTATAAACTTTGGGGAGGATGGGGAGGGCAAGACATATGGCCCCTGGGATTTCCCAGTGGGTACCATCCCCTCCCTCAAGCCAAGCTATGATCAAACTCCCACAACCACCAGTTTGACAAAATACATTCAATTTAGTTGAATCACCCTGAGTTTCACTAAGATGCTCTATCCCCCAACTCTCTACACACACTCCATTTGTTTTCTTTTTTAAATTTTCACCAGCTATATGAAAGGTTTTTAGACACCAATTACTTCACTGCAGCTCAACCCACCCACCCACTGGGAAATTGACAAGTTTATGCCCATGGGTCTAAGTGCAAAAAACTCTTAATTTCTTAGTTTCTTAGTCTTTCTTTATACAGATTTCTAAATTTCTTCTTGCATGAATTAATATTATACTTTATATTCTGTTTACATGCCTTATCTATCTGATTTACTTAGTCTGAGTGCAAAAATACACCAAAAAATAAATAGTTCCACTAAAAAACAAATCTTAGAAATATCACATCACAAATTCAAAGGAAACTACAGAAAAAAATGAATAATACAAATTATTCAATTATTATTAAGATCAACCAAAATAACAGTTAACAGTAATTTTTAAGTTATTCAGAGTTCTTCATTAGGTGAGATGGCAAAAAAAAGGAGATAAAGAAAAAGTGAGAAAAAAATCCTAAAATCCTAAGTATGTCTACAATATAGACTCCTAGTGAACTAATAGGAATAAGTGCTGTTTGTTTGTGTTAACCAAAGTATAGCACGTGTGTACAAAGAGGGAAGTACTGGAAGATTTGCCAGAATCTGAAATAATCTTAAAAGCACAAACACTGTTAAGAAAAATTTCCCTAAAAGAACCTACTGCCCAAACTGATAATAATCAAATATGTTCTATGGCCATGTAACATTGGCAAAAAAAAAAAAAAAAACTAGACAGAAAATAGAATAAGTACCATGGAGGAGGACATGACTGACTGATCACTCCACTTTTTTGCAAGACCCGTTTGTATTATATACACTGCATTTGATTTACATCTAAGATAATCATCTAAACAACCGTCTTGCCTATTTATGCAAGTCCCAACATTTGTTAAACACTACAGAAACCCATAAAAAGGAACTCTAGGCAGGGACGGCTGTATGGGCTGGCTGACACTATTCTCAATGCAATTGTGAAACAGGAATACTTAATTTGCTTTCCAATAACTAAGAGCAACACTGCTCCAGAACAGGATATCAGTAGTACTCCTGGGTTGTGTACTTTAAAACATATGAATGATTATTACCCTTCCCTATGGATAAAGCGCCAAACTGGGAAAAATATAAAGGAAGGAGGAAAAATCCATCAGAGGGTCTCGGCTAATGTAACATTCTGGAAGATAGAAGCATCTCTTCTTCCTTACTGTTAAGATACCTCCAAGGTTATATTGCTTGATATTTCCACTACCCAACCCAAGAAATCTATACCTTGCTTGGAGTAGATTACAGAAGAGAGGCAACAGGAAGTATTATCTTTTCTGAATATTATATTGAACTTTTTATTTGTGATTGAGGACAGCATTTTTTATTTCCTCAAGGTCTTAAGTCTGTCTTTGGTTTAACAAAATAAACAGAAAGTGTCAGAAGTAAATTTTAAAAAATGTTCATCCTCAGTAACAGTACCTCCAGCAAGTAAAAAGGCATAGCTGATCAAAATCCTGTTTTTCCTAAATACAGCGTAATTAGCTTAATGCAAATTAGAGTCATTTGTAAAAGGAAATGTAGCATCCACTGAAAGAGAGAGCTTGCATACACACCTGCTATTCACAGAGAAACATTACTAATTAACTCATGAAAAGGAAAATGTATGAAGTGAAAATGAAGAGGAAAGCTTACACAGTGAAAAATTAAGCATTAAAAAATCTCTTTGAAAGGCAGTTACACTCTACATTACTATTACTTAATAATTACTTTGATTTCATGGTCACAAACACCATTATACAAAGTTACTTATGAGAACAAGATAGCATTATCTCAGTCAACTGCAAGCAATTGAGATATTATTATTATTTGGCTTTTCCTCAGCTTTAAGGAAAGCCTAGACCTTCACTTACAGATAATAGAATGCAATCTGCTGAAGAAGATCTATAATTGCATACTGTAGTCTGCACAGGCTAGATCTTTTCTCTCCTCTTGCCAACTGACTAGCTAGAGATGGCGCAGAAGAACTTCTTTCATTAGACCATGTAGATGGATATAAAAGCAAATACGAATACTGATGTTCACTGTAGAAGACTCTATTAAGATTCTTGAAATGACAGAAATAGCTTTAGATATTGCTGCTATAAAATGTGCTTATAAAATATGATTTTAGAAAAGATGCATGCATATAATATGACACCCACCAAGAAGTATTTCTTGCTTTTTGGAGTATACTCAGGATCCCATTCTTCCTCTTTTGGTCTCTTTTGAAAAGTAGTGTTTGAATTGCTAGGACCAGTATTTGTTCCAGCAAACACGCCTCTGGCTCTTCCTCTGCCCCTAATTCGAAACTGATTAACCAAAGCATGTATGTATTTAAATGATAAATATATTTAATTCATTTACACATAGCAATAAATTATTATTGCATTAACTAAATGCTTTGTTGTTGTGTTAACACTACATAAAATGAAGATATTTCAAAATTAGTGCAAAGCTATTTATACCTACTTTAAGATAAAGATTCAGTGCTGCAGAATGGCATTTATGTGCAGCACTGATTTATCGAAAACCCCAGATTTCAAAAACTGGTTTGGTGTAAACAATAGTTAATAGCTGGATGCAACCAACAGCTTCCCCACACAGATATGGAGGATGCTTTTGATAAAGAGAGTTATTTTCCTGGCTGAATAAGAGAGGTGATTTCCAATAATTTCTTTTCACCTCATGCTTCCCCAAAATTGCTGACTAGAACTGGAAAAACTTTCAGGTCTCTTCAGGCACTTGCAGTAGGGAAACCTTTCCCAGCCTGGCCATCCTCTATACATTTGGATCAGCTCCCAGAGTGCTCTAGCCAGCATGGTTAAATTCACAGAATGCCAAGATTGGGAAAGGCTGCAGAGAGAAGGAAGAATCAGAAAATAACATCTCCTTCTCTCTTTAACAGCCAGCCACTAAACGGACCTCCACTTGGTGACACTCCCACTGCAGGATTAAAGGCAAAGCCAATTCTGCAAAGTTTCCCAATGCCTCCGATTTTCCTTCAATACAGACAAAAGGCTCAGGTTTGAGAAATGAAGAAAATGAAGGTGATGCTTTGGGAGTTACTGTGATTTGGAGTCATATGCCACAATGAATGTGTAATAATACTGAGTCTGGTAAACAGAAAAAGCAAGAAGGGAAAAAGAGAACCTAAAAGGTCTAATATACTCAATTAACTTTAACAGTTTCTAAGAAACAATATGGGAAAAATAATTAGTTCAGATAACAGTGTTAGTTGAAGTATTTTAAATGCAAGTTTGATAACAGTTTCTAACAGTTCCATGTTATTTATAATCAACTAAAATGTATTTCTAATTAATGAACTAAACATTTTGTATAAAATCACACATAGCAGTTTTCAACAACTGTACCATCAAATTTCAGTAATGCATTGGTGGAATGCAAAATTCAGAAGAAGCCTTACTGAATTAGGCTTACTCCTAAATAAATACATGTGAAACTGCTGTTGAGACAATGCAGCATTTTTATGCTGCATATGCATAGCTTACTTAACCCTTATTGCATTTACCACTAGCTGTTCTATTCTGTGTTGTAATAAGGTAATACCATGGCCAACTCCCGATACATAGATTTAATATTTAAAAAGGAAGGAAATCAAAGTGTCAAAGAAACTTGAAGAACAAGTTAGAGAAAATACCTATGAATAAATTATTACAGACAGAAGTATGAAATCAGAAAGAACACACAGAGTAGAATAGATAATTAAGGATACTTGAGCTTTAAGCAAACACAAAAAAGTTTGTGGATATTTAAAGCAACAATTTATCTGAGTATTGTATTGTACTTTATTGTATTGTACTGTATTGTACTTTACAGGTACAATAAGATGCTAATGCATCTTTTTCATTTTACGCCAAACTAACATATTATTTTCCTATAATTTACATATACACACCTGGGTGTATTCTAATTGCATTCCCATGTTTTAAATGTACACTGGATATTTTAATTCAATGGCTATAAACTATGATTAAAAATAACTGCACAGTAGAAACTTACAAATGTGCCTCTAGGTCTTCCAACTCCTGTAAAACCTGGATATTCTTTCTGCTCATGATGGGGTTTAAGTTCTTCATCTCTTTCTTTCTTGCAGTCCTTTTCTTCTCGGCAACTGGATGAGGAGGAAGATGGGGAGGAAGTTGAGGAAGATCGAGAATGGTCTTGTTCTCTTTTTTGTTTACTGAAAAATAAGAAACCATACTATTTGCTGTTGCATCCTATGTACCGGACTTATTTTCTGTACTCTTAGAAGTTATCCTCTGTTCTTGTTTTGAAGCTAAATGTGGAACATTATTACTCCATCCAGCTTCCATCTATAATTTTAACAGCTAT